CTGCGACACACTCTACTCCCCAGACAGCGATCAAGTGACAATAATGTCAGATCTTTTAAGAACTTCAAGCCTGGTGTGTGTGATACACCCCAGTAATCGAGACCCCAGGACCCAAGGCCAAAAAATGAGTCTGCAGCCAGCTGGGTTATATAGCAAGACTGGCCGAAAAAGAAAACCAACACTTGGCCCTTTCTCAGCTTATCCACTACAGTTTTCTTGATGAGCTCAAACTATTTCTTAATCAAGTTAAATGGTCTCAGGATAATTCTCTAAAACATGTGCAGTTGTTGAAGTGTGAGACCCCCTTTGGGACAACAAAATCCACATGCCATGTTAATATTTGCTTCTATTTACTCGCCAATAGTAAGCACTTACCAGACAGGACATCAGGTCATGATAAATTACACCCTCAATTTAAATAGAGCTATCCAAAGTAAGCCTACCACCAACCTTCAAACAAATTCTGGCAGTCCAAGCCAATCTGTAAACATCGGACATGAGGGGCAGAAATCCTAACTGAGAATGCCAACCCTTTGGTCACTGCTACCACAGTGCCACCTCCTGTCTTGTGACTCTGGAAGCTTGAATCAGAGGCAACAGTAGATAAAGGAAACAGAGCTAAGAATAGCACGGCTAAACCATCTTTCCGCCTCTCCTTCCTCCCAGACCAAACCAACTGCCAGTCAGTGAGTGGATAATTCATACCTTTCAAAAATTAGTTACTGCTAGGAAAGCTGCTGCCTGAATGCTAAGGACAACTGCAAGAAGAGTCCCTCACAAAGATGGAGGTGGTTTAACAGTTCACTTTAATTCAAGATCCCAGTCCAGTGACACCACACCCACAGCGCAGGGCTCACAAAGGGTTTCAAAGCATGGCAAAGATAATTCTCCACTCGCTGACTGCCTGAAAGTGGTGCACAGGAAAAAGGCGGAGAAAGCAACTGAATCACTGTACTACAGAAAATTTCAAGTCAAGCTCCTCAGAGAGAAAGCATCAGATCTCTATAATTCCAAAGATATTTGTAAATTTTAAGCCTGTTTGAGAGCCCATTTGCTTCCAGAAAAGTGGCAAAACCTCAGAACAAATTATGCCCCTTGGACTTTGTCACAACAGCGTCTGGTCTGAACACAGAGTATCAGCAACCACACAGGTCAAAAGCAAGAGCCAAATATCAGAAGCCAGGTTTCCAATTCCCACTGGTTTCAGAAAGATGTCATGTTTCAGTAACAGCTTCCTCAGGGTTGGTGTGAACAAAACATGGTAGAAGCTACTTTAACATTTCGTTTCTAAAAATTCTATTAAGGCCAAAGTAAGAAATCTCACAATTTTTTTTTTAAATTGTACCCAGCAAATAGGAAATTTAAAAAAAAAATCAAAAGAAAAAAATCCCTCCAGCTACAACCACTTAACTAACAGTCACATGCTGGCAATCTGAAGTTATGCACTCAAAAGATAACTTTGCTTGAAATTCTTTCCCAACCAAGTTCCCTAACATTAAACCTCAAATATCTACATGTGTGAGAAATTCCACAATTCAAAATTAAGACTCATTTGTACTACGCCCGCTAAGGAAGAACTATACCTGTGTGTAAATGTTCAGACTTGAAAATAGCTTTTGCAATCCCTGAGACTTTGAAGCTGGCCCCAGAGTCTGCAGTTACCAGGGCCCTGGCTAAGGGGTACTCTGCCTCGTCCCATACAAAAGCAATATGCTAGCTTTTAAGCAGCCACTTACAGTGGGATGAATTAAAAACCCCAGTAATTTCTGTAACTCAACTGATGTCATGAGCACAAGATTCCAGTATCAAAGTAAGTTGTTCCCTTTATCTTCTTATTAAGAACATGAAGTACCACAAACTATTTTCAAGGATCCTTCTTGGTGCACATTAACTATAACATCCTATAATTTCTATCCTTTATTCAAATGTTCATAACTGAGGTTAAGAATTAAATCACAAGTTTGATCAAATATGAGTACACAGTGAAAAACTGAAAATATGAAAAATCAGGAGTCTGTAAGGCATGGAAATTTAACTGAAACCACCATGTCTCAGTTCTGCAGCATCAGCAACTTTGCCATTCCTTCTCCCGTGCCCAACAGCCCACAACATAACAAAAACAGGGCAGCAGTGCGGCTTATATCAGCACACAGGGGCGTCCAGAAGCCCTCAGAATCTAGTGGCTCTTCCAACCACTCTCTTCTACAATCCTTCCTAGATAAAACTATTTCTTCACTCACCTCATGTCCAAGAGGGAAAAAAAAAAAATCAGTTCTGCTCTGGAAGCTATCAAGCCTTCCTATGCCTTATCCTTTGAATCTGGGACTGATGGTGTAACACCATCTCAGAGTCCAAAGCAATCTTCTCTTCTGGAGACAGGCATCCTCAGGCCCTGTGCACTCTGCTGTAATCTACAGCAGAGGGGCATCTGAATGCAGAAAAGCCACATTCCTTCCACATTCCCTTGAGACTTCAGTAATGGGGAACTAAGCTTGGTTTGAACCAAACTCAACAATACCCCTTCCTGAAAGAGTCCCGCCCAGCTCAGCTTGCAGTGAGAGCTAGGCTAGCCTGCAAAGCATCCAATCACCTCTGTGCTTGCAGCTCTCCTGTTCATCCATCTCAGAGTGCTGCCAGAAGCATTCCCCAGCAGCAGCCTCCCAACATGCCTTGCAAACAGGTATAAAGGTCACTACCCTACAAGTGGGCGTGCCTGCCTCAAATGCCCACATCATGGTGGAAAAATGACTGCTAAGCACAACAAACTCTATCCCAAAGTTCAACAGGCTACCTTGGCAATCTATTGATCTGACTGAGCTGTGTACTCAACTCACTATCAAAGTAATCCACACCAGAGCCACCTCTTAACCTTGCCATAGGTATGAGCATGTGGCTGCCTGGTCACTTCTTGGCCTTCCAAAGCCCATGGAGATGATGGAAGAGTCCAGATAAGGAAAACTGCACAACTTCAAGGTTCAGTTAAAATGAATCGTAATACAGAAAACAGTAAATTCCCTGACAGATAAAAAGAAGGCTCTACTTATACAGTATTTAAAATCCTAAACCTTCTGGCAGTGGGAAGAAAAAGCAGAAAAGTTCATTATTATTACATTGTTAATAAACTGAAGCAGCTTCCGGTAAACATTTGCTCCCATTTGCTACATCTGTCTGGGACCTTTCCAAAAGAGGAACCCTGCACATTCAAAAGTAACAAGTAACTGTTTTCAGTCTAAGCAAAGCTTTTAGGAGTAAGACTAGCAGTTGTTACCAAAGTTCCTAAATTAATTCTCCACACCTGTGGAGACATTAATTCCTAAAAGAACAGCAGAGGACACAGCAAATGAGGTCAATACATTAACTGTACCTGAAATACTCGAGACATTTAATGTTTTTAATTCCAAAAGATTCCTTTGATTATAATCATTTGCTCTTCCTGGCACTGGAACCCACAGCTTAAGCATGTTTGTTAAGCAAGCATTCTACTACTGAGCTGCAACACAATACCAATCTTTCTTTTTTTTTTTTTTTTTTTGCTTACTTTTAACTCAACAATTGATAAAAACCAAGAACTGGAGATGTAGTGCCTGCCTGCATAAATGAAGCCCTGGATTGATCCCAAGCACAGAGGGGAAAAAAAAAAAATCAGATACTCTGGATAGACATGAAACCAACCAACATATGTACAGTAAGTTTCATATTTTCAAAGCAGCAGATTCACAGGCTAGGTCTCTACTTCTTAAGGGCACAGGATTTTTCCCTCAATTGTTTAAACTCCTATGAAGCCAACATCAACTTAATACTTTTCACCCACACCTACTTTAGAAGATTTAAAAGCAAAACAAAACAAAACAAAAAGAAAAAACATTCTACTACATGAAATAACTTTACCCCCTACTAAAATTCCTTAACCGGAACTAAATCAAGTTGCTCAAATATCTTTCCAATTATCTTAAGGGAAATTAAACAAGTACTTTAAAAAAAAAATTCTACAAATATCCACCCCAGTTTATTCCTAAAGCCAGGAATGTGACATGATTCATGTGGAAGGGAGCTTCATTCAAAACAGTCACACAGCATTCTCCCTGCACGCTGTCTCTATGGGGCAGCTCCCTCTGTCCCCTAGAGCACAGACTCACAAATACTTAACCAGATACACACAGCTCTGGTTTGAATTAACTTCAAGCTTATTGTTTGGCCCAGGTTAGGAAGGGGATGGAGGGCAGAAGGGCAAGACAGAAACCCTAACCCCACCTTGCAAAACCCAGAAGGGCATAAGGTTAACCTCAGTCTTTCCCAGTTAAACTATAGTCCTGGCCTGTGCCAGGGCAAAAAGAGCCATTTCTCTAAAAAGCTTCAGTAGTTAAAACAGCCTGCAAATATTTGTAAAGTTGACAGCTACAGATGCTCTCAGAGAAATCCCACTAAAGTAGCACAGATCTCCCAGTCTTCACCGTTCTTGGTGGTGATTTGTAAGCAAAAACACACCAAAGGCAGGAGCTGAACAAAGGCGCTGTTTGCAAAAACTTTGGAGTGTTTGAAAGGCTGCAGGACCCCGGCATTCACTCTCTGTATTCCAATGGCCGCTGGCTGGCGAGTGAACCAGGGCAAAGAAAACTGTGTTCCTCCTCTCTCAGAAGTGCCCACCACGGCAGACCAGCCCCCCACATCCGTCCTGGCCCTGCCTCCTAAATCCCGTAGTTCCCAAAGGCTGTTGAAGCGACTCGACCTGCTCTGACAAGAACACGAAGCTGCGAGAGAGAGCTTCCTTGACCGGCTTTTAGAACAGCAACAATAACCCAGAAGCAGGGGCTGCAAACAAGCCCTCGATTACTTCCCAGAATTATCAACGCGCGCGCACACACCTGCCATAAACTTAAATGCAAGGGGAAAAACAGCAAGCTAAGCCGCGGCCCCAGCGTGTAAGCCTGAGTGGTCCTAGTTTTCATCTGTGCCCAGTGCTTTCTCCCTACAAGTGTCGAGAAAAGGGTAAATCAGCTCACCTCTGCCTTTTGGGGACAGAGTGCTCAACTTCCATCGGCTTCCCGTGCAGTTCCATTTTACCTGCGGACACACAAGAGGCGAGACCAAAGGCTAGATTCAGCGGCTCTCCCCGCCTCGAAACCCGCAGTCTTTAAAACACAGCTGGCTTAGGGGACCCACGGAGGGGCCCAAAGATCCCCACCCGGCTCAAGGACAAGGGAGGAGCAGGGCACCGCCAGGGTGCGGAGCTGACCCCTCGGGTGGGTGTGGCTTTTTAACTTGCAGAAGGCTAGGAAGGGAGCCCAATAGTCCAGACTCACCAGTTGGGTTGCATTTTCGCTTCCTGACCCTCCTCAAAAGGCCACCCAGCAACCCAGGGTCTGCAAAAGGGACCCCCCCCTCCCAACAGACAGCCTGCGATGGGGACGCGCGGCCTT